TTTACCTCTCCAGTACTCCACAGGAAACGGGCCGTACACTTACCTCTCCAGTACTCCACAGGAAACAGGCCGTACATTTACCTCTCCAGTACTCCACAGGAAACGGGCCGTACACTTACCTCTCCAGTACTCCACAGGAAACAGGCCGTACACTTACCTCTCCAGTACTCCACAGGAAACAGGCTGTACACTTACCTCTCAAGTACTCCACAGGAAACAGGCCGTACACTTGTCAATTTTTACCTGTCCAGTCCTCCCCAGGAAACAGGCCGTACCCTTACCTCTCCATTACTCCACAGGAAACAGGCCGTACACTTGTCAATTTTTACCTGTCCAGTACTACACAGGAAACAGGCCGTACACTTACCTCTCCAGTACTCCACAGGAAACAGGCCGTACACTTGTCAATTTTTACCTGTCCAGTACTCCACAGGAAACAGGCCGTACACTTACCTCTNACGAATTAACTTCCAAAAATAACTCCGTCGAAGAGGTTAAGGTCGGATTCACGGTGTTCACTGTATTTATCCATGCGCAAAATTTGTTACCAGGGAAAAATCGGAACAATTTAAAATCTAACTTTCAGCTCAGATTTCTATTGATAAACTTAAATCACCCTATAGACATATCATACGCAATTGTATTGATTCTGAATTGTGGAATAAAATTTAAGTGTTTGTTAAAATTTCATAGAACTACTTTGTTTGCCAATCAGCACGCGACAATACGTTGTTCAAACTATTGAACGAAATTGTGTGGACTGTCGATAAGGCAGGCATGTTTAATCTTAAATATAAATTTTAAGTAAAAAAAGAACAAAAGAGGAAGAGAAAAACGTAAAGATAAGTAATGAACTGTTTTTGTATGGTGCGCATTATGAGTTGTTTGCTTGCAAAACTGTGTCATTCAAATAGATCATAAATACCATACAAAAACAGTTCAATGCTTAAGTATATGCATGTATAGCATCACATCCAGTGTGTGTTTTACATCGCGATTGCTACAAAAAAATAACCAATTTTATTAATCCATTTCTAAATTGGAAAATCTATCATACAGCATGTATCTGAATAAATAAAAAACATGTCATTACCTTGTGCTTTTCTAGCTTCTTCTGCCTGCTTCCTAATTTCCTCTATTGCCCTCTTGTCGTCCTCCTTCAGAAAGCAAAACAACTACGTTATCTTCAAGCAAGTTTAATTCATAACAAATTCTTAAATATTGTATAGGTTTCAGGTATCGAAATACATGTATTGACAAGTTATTAGAAACAAAACAAACTTATCTTTTTTAAACTTTGCAGCACAGAGGCAGTACAATTCTTACCTCTCCAGTACTCCACAGGAAACAGGCCGTACACTTACCTCTCCAGTACTCCACAAGACACAGGCCGTAAACTTACCTCCCCAGTACTCCACAGGAAACAAGCCGTACACTTACCTCTCCAGTACTCCACAAGAAACAGCCCGTACACTTACCTCTCCATTACTCCCCAGGAAACAGGCCGTACACTCGTCAGTTCTTACCTCTCCACTACTCCACAGGAAACAGGCTGTACACTTACCTCTCAAGTACTCCACAGGAAACAGTCCGTACACTTGTCAGTTCTTCCCTCTCCAGTACTCCACAGGAAACTGGCCGTACACTTACCTCTCCAGTACTCCACAGGAAACAGGCCGTACACTTGTCAGTTCTTACCTCTCCAGTACTCTACAGAAAACAGGCTGTACACTTGTCAGTTCTTACCTCTCCAGTACTCCACAGAAAACAGGCTGTACACTTGTCACAACCCTTGCCTGGTTCTTGGACATGTTGACAGAAGGGATTGTAGTCAATCTGTACAAATAGTACAACATATTAGTACTCCACAGGAAACAGGCCATACCCTTACCTCTCCAGTACTCCATAGGAAACAGGCCGCACACTTGTCACAACCCTTGTCTGGTTCTCGGACATGTTGACAGAAGGGATTGTAGTCAATCTGTACAAATAGTACAACATATTAGTACTCCACAGGAAACAGTCCGTACACTTGTCAGTTCTTCCCCCTCCAGTACTCCACAAGACACAGGCCGTAAACTTACCTCCCCAGTACTCAACAGAAAACAGGCTGTACACTTGTCAGTTCTTACCTCTCCAGTACTCCACAGGAAACAGGCCGTACACTTGTCACAACCCTTGCCTGGTTCTCGGACATGTTGACAGAAGTGATTGTAGTCAATCTGTACAAATAGTACAACATATTATTGAACTGATAATGCCTGTAGTAAATACAAGAGGGACACAATGTCTTTCTGGAAATATTTAACAACTTTTCTTTCTTGTAATTTCCAAATCTATGTGAAACAGTTTGAAATAATCTTTTACTTGTATTTGTTATGAAATTACCTTAGTTTACACATGTATGCTATTACAAGTTGATGTTCCAGATGAATCAGAAGAAAACAAAAACAAAAACATTCTGGTTACAATATACATTTTACAACAGATTTACCAACCATAACCACATGCCCTGGAAATGTAGCATTGGAGAAAAAACAACTACAATTACATTAGGTTTTCGGCATATGTAGCACATCTTTGAACCGCAGCGACAGGTCATCTTGTTACAGCCTTCTGACTTGGTGAATTTAGTTTTACATTTGATACAGGTTCTTATCTTGGCCATGGTCATCTTCTCTTCACTGTCAACATAATGATAATTATAATATCAACAAAAGTACAAATATTCTCAACAGCAAAATTTCAACATATGACATTAAAGTAAGAATGTTTTTTAAACTTTTCGTACACTAGTAACATCATTGTTGACCCTACATAACTTAAAACAGGAGGCCCATGGGCCTTAACGGTCACCCGAGTCCTACAGTATTTATTTTTGTTGTTGAAATATGCAGCAATTTGAGTAAAAAATAGTTAGCTTAAGTTTGTCAGGACCATGAGCTGATCATTCCTAGACCGAGTTTCAGTTATATTTTCAAAAAAGCAGCCGTGGCAGCCAAATTGTATTTCTGATCGACCCGAGGAAAAAACCCCACTTCGTCAGGACCATGAGTCGATCATTCCTACAAAGTTTCAGTTTAATCAGCCCAGTAGAACTTGCATGACTTTAAGTTTGAAATAGTTTTTCAAAATGGCAGCAGTGGCAGCCATATTGGATTTCTGATTTACCCAAAAAAATAACAACTCTTTGTCAGGACCATGAGTCGATCATTCCTACCAAGTTTCAATTCAATCGGTCTAGCAGAACTTGACTTTAAGTTTGAAATACTTTTTCAAAATGGCGTCCGTGGCAGCCATATTGGATTTCTGATCGACCCGAAAAATAACAGCACTTGGTCAGGGAGATGTCAGTAACCTTCCCATGATATATTAATGAAATCCCATTGTTAGTATTTCAGCTTAAGTTGAAAATGTAAAATGTTAACGGACGACGGACGAAGACGGAAAGCAATAGGTCACTTGAGCTAAAGCTCGGGTGACCTAAAAAAACATCACTGCCACCACTGTATTCATCATTGTCTACACAAGTAAGAGTAGGGTCAACACAGCAATATAGTTTTATCAATGTTAACCTCATTGTCAACACTTAGATGGTAATTCAGTCAGTTTATTGGTTAGTGTATCTATTGGCAGTGTCTATCAAACAGTGGCCTTCTTCAGGACAATTTATATAGAAATTTCTTTCCCTAAAGTTCTAAAATTCTAAATATCATACTTATATGGTGATACACCTGGTACAACATGAACCAGAACTGTAAACTAAAGGCTAACTTATACCCCCCGCTGCTATATAAACCAGAACTGTAAGCTAAAGGCATACTAAGGCAAAGTATTGGATGCAATCCATAGTCTCCCACCAGTAATAATTTCTTTATTGACCGAGCTGTACACGTATTTAAGTATACTGGTCACTGACATACTTCCTGTACTCCCTCCCCATGCCAAAACATACTAACATACAAAATCTTGTTAGCCCAGATGAACCAGTTTTGCTAAAATTGTCCTATTAGTTAAGGAAAAGATGTCAGGACAAAGATTTTCAACAAAGGGCCATAACTCCTTAAAAAGGGTTGAAATGAAAAAAATACTAGCCTGATGCACGACATTAAGGGGGTAATTACAATATCTGTAAACTTTCATTGAAATCGGCCCAGTAGTTTATGAGGCAGACAAAGGTCTATTCAACCAAGGGCCATAACTCCTTTTAAAAGGGTTGGAATGAAAAAGTACTACTTGGATGCACAATGTCGGGGGGCATTTACCATATCTGTAAAAAAATTGAAATTGGCCCAGTAGATTAGGAGAAGTTGTCAGGACAAAGATTTTTCAACAAAGGGCCATAACTCCATAAGAAAGGGTTGGAAAAAAATACCTGGATGCACAACATAAGGGAGTAGTTTTTATATCTGAAAAGTTTCGTTGAAATTTGCCGCATAGTCTTGGAGGAGTTGTCAGGACAAGTATTTTTCAACAAAGGGCCATTACTCAAAAAAAAAAGGACAGATTGAAAAAATAAAACCTGGATGCACAACATCAGGTGGTAGTTATCATATGTGAAAACTTTCACTGAAATTGGCCCGGAGGTTTTGGAGAAGTTGTGCGAGAAAGCATTTTTCAACAAAGGGCAATAACTCCGTAAAAAATGGTCAGAACTTCGTTGCAGGGGGTATAATTAAGTATAATGTCTCCACCCCTGGAGCATTGTCAACACTAGTTACAGCAAGTCAGAGTTCTAGTTCTTTTATCAGGTTAGGCTTTACAGATCATCAGTTGTACATATATACAGTGTTACAGGACAGTAAACAAACTCCTAGACTTTGGAAACCAAACTCATCCCAATGATATTTATATAAATTATTTTGAAGAGGTAATAATTTTTCCGAACACTACAATGCCAACACAAGTTACATCAATGTTGACACTAGAAACAGCGATGTCAACACTGATTACAGCAATATGGACACTAGTTACAGAAAGACTGTATTTGCTGTTTCTCACTGTGCACTATCTGTGTCATCCTATAGATTTATTAATTAATTTTAATGTTGATGATAGTGTGATTCATTCTGCAATTCTTTTTTGGGTTTCATTACGTGATGAACAATTTTTAATAGGATAACCTGACAGCCAAGGATATTTTTGAATGATGGATAAATATTAGCTTGTGATTTATCTTCATATTGTCTTTTTTACATTTGTCTGTATTGCAACAACAATTTCTGTTAATTTGTGTCACCTGTTAGTATATTGCATATAAAACATGTAATCCATGACTAGTCTCAGGAAGCTTTTAAAATCTATTAACAAACAAATCATTAATACTATAAGACTCTTTTATGCACAGGGGTGTAGGATAGGGAAATTCCATTTGAGGGGTTTTCAAATTTGGCAAAACCCCTCAAATGGAATTTCCCTATCCTACACCCTTGGGCATGGAAGAGTATTTTTCTCTTATTCCAACCACCAGAATAAGCTCAGAAACCATGAAAAAGCTTTTGGACTGGCCACCATTTTGAAAATAACAATTTTTCCCCTAAACTTTTTAGACGAAAATGAATTAGCCAGATTTAGCATACCCCATATTTGCAAACAATGTTTGCTCATAAAAAATAATCACATTTTTCTAACGTGTAGGGTAAATATATCGTAAAAGGTTTTAATTTCATCACGTCGCCTATTCCGCATTGCGGCATCGGAGAGTTCCAAATTCGTGACGTCACGTCATTGTCGAGCCATTGTAACTCACGTCACATGAAATGGGGTGTAAGATAGAAATTTCCTACACCCCTTTATTACCCTGGACAGCTCCATCTTACACACAGGGAAATGAGAGAAAATAGTTTTCCTAATTTCTGCATTACATGCTCATTGTTGTGTTTTATGCCAAAATAAAATATTGTTTTAATTCAGAAATGACTTGCAGTGTTGATAAATTAATATCCTAGATTTACTACTGCATTTAATCATTGCTAAGCTGACAGGATAACTGACACCTGGTCAACACTGTCTACACTGTCAACACTGTCAACACTGTCAACACTGTCTACACTGTCAACACTGTCAACACTGTCAACACTGTCAACACTAGTTACTTACAACTGAACACGCAGTTTCACCTCATCCTTCTTTTCCACCTGATCACAAGTCTTCCCGATGTGGTCTGCCCAGGGCTCTTGACAATGGCGACATGTTTCCTGTCAAAACATATGAACAACTCTAACCATCACAGCATTCATATCACCAGTATGTCTCTCTGTTTTTTTCTAATTCCTTATTATGTAAAGTTGAATATACAGTTTTAGACAGGCCACATATATAAGACAGTTTATAACTAGATCTGTTGCTAGAATGGTAGACTAATACCATCTGTCTGTGCGTAGAACTGTAAGAATACATCTTTCAATCTTTTTTCAAGAAAGGGCAACATTACATCAATAGGGGAGGCAACTCCATTATATATACTTTGTTTAACTGTAAATATAAGTGTTCTGTGTATCAAGTATCAGTCAAATTAATGCAGTATTTATGAGCATTGTGAATAGTTTAAAACAGAGGGGCATTCCTCCATAACTAGGGGCAATAACTCCATTTTACTTTATTCACATCCCTTCAATTTAAGTGTATGTGTACCAAGTATCATTCCAATCAGTGAGGTGCTGTTAAATGAGTAGTGTGAACAAGGTTTATATACAAAAGGTCTCCATAAAGAGGTAACTCTAGTTCACATCTCCATCGATGGAAAGGATTTGGGAGGAGTAATATGACCAACATTGTGTCCACAGACAGACAACCCAAGTCCAGTCTACCCCTGCTACCTACTGACTTTGTTACAGGGAGTATACACAAGATAAGTATTACAAACATCTAGCTGAGATAGTTAGTTGTAATAAACATTACATATCTTGGCAAATGGATGAAAACCGAAAAGAATATTCTTCAGAAATATATCTTAATGAAACAATCATTCAGAATCTTTAAGAAGAATGATTTAAAGTACTGACTTTTTCACAAGCTGGGTTGGCACATCGGAACACTGAGTATCCTGGGTCTAACACAGCCGCAAAGTCACAGTGAGGACACCTACAATGACATTCAGTATAAAGTCACAGTGAGGACACCTACAATGACATTCAGTATAAAGTCACAGTGAGGACACCTACAATGACATTCAGTATAAAGTCACAGTGAGGACACCTACAATGACATTCAGTATAAAGTCACAGTGATGACACCTACATCATACACCTTCCGGTATGACAAGCTGAAGCGTGTGGACGTGGTGAGTGTCGCCTCCGATATATACACATTTACTACTACCTATATCAAAGTTCTCTATGTGGGAACACCGTAAATACGTTTGTGTGGACTTAAATTACACTTTATGTATACTCATTGGTGCTGAACTTTTCTAATTTGTTGAATATTTGACAATTAGAATTTTTACCTGCAACATTAGCCAGGTCTATTTATAGCCCGCGCACCTGCATTTCACGTATAACTGGTTACATACCTGTATCGATAAAAATATCCAGTGCAATACGAACATGATGGCTACCAGCTCCACTGAGCCCGAGTATAAGTGCGAGAACTTAAGGGATATTGCACAGTGTTTCAAAAACTTGCACTTTTCGTTCCAACTAGAAATTGCAAAAGTTAATGAGCAGGTGACCCAGGTAACTAAGCGAGTTGAAACATTAGAAGCAGCGGCCCAATGGACAACAGACGAAATGAAAACGCTTCATAACCAACACCTACCCGAATTTGTCGCCAAAATAAAAGAAGAAAGTAACGAAAGGGTCAAACTGGAACTTTGGGGAAGGAAATGGAACCTTGTTATCAAGGGTTTACCAGGTTCATCTGCGGAGACGCCCAAGGAGACCGAAGTTAAATTCCGTACATTTCTGAAGACCGACCTCAAACTTTCCGGAAAGCACGTCCACTCCATTCTTCTCCAAGCGATACATAGGCTCCCATCAGGTGATATCCATTCCAGGAACTTCATTGTGCGTTTCATGTCGCTAATCGATAGAGACATGGTTATGAAGAGTGCGATGGGAAACCTAAAGGCTGGATGTGGTAAGGCCGTAATNCCGCGTATGGCACCTATTGTTTGGATATATATATATATGACAGATGGTGATAGCGGACACATATGATATATAGATGTCAGACAGAAAATATAAATATCTGTGTCAGTGTAGTAAACACGGAACACGTGTACAGGTAAAAGGAAAATGGAATATTCCATTATGAGGTCAACACGAGGGGCTATAGTCAAAACTTGTGTAAGGTAAACGGATGTGCTGACGTGAAGAGTGGGATGTATTATTGGGGCGGAACAATTGGGAGTGCATGGTGTGAGTATAATGTGTTGGTAATATTGTAAGTAAGGAGTATATAGGTGCGTGTGTGGATATCAAAACGAGTAAGAACAGTAGCGTTCATATCACGGTGAAATAGTGTACATGTATCTGGTGGCCGTGTAGGAATGGTTACGTGCTTTTATCAATATAGGGTAGATAAGCTAAGCTAATACCAATTTATTCCCAAAATCCACAAAAATGCAACAATAATGCACTGTATCTAGGTATGGTGTTGTGAGGCGGTGTCCAATCAGCCCCGAGTGAAAGACTATGTGAACACAGGGACATTTTTTTTGTCGGAAACTCGGTGGTGGATTTTATACTGACCTCCCAGCTGCATAGCTATATTATGTTTAATAAAAAACAAGTATAATAATGAAATAACGTTTGAAAAAAAATACCACGCCTTATTTTGATTTTAGAAAAACAAAACCATTACTCTGGTTTACTTATTCATTTATTTATTTATTTTAGTTAATTATATTTCTGTACCTTTTAACATGATATATTCATATATTACTATGATAATTCACTGTAGCATTAAATTGTAGGCACTCCTACACCTAAATGCATGACTTGTTGCTACATGGCCACGAAAACAGAAAACAGAAACTTTGATTTTGTTCATAATTGTAAGTATATATTAATTGTTAAATTTAGTATAGGGGGTTGGGCTGACCTTTCTGAAAGAACCTAATGAATGGAAGTAGGGTGTGTATGGGGGGTAAGGGGGTGGGTATTTTTGGGGAAGCTTTTCAGAAAATGTTCAATGTTGCGTTTCAATACTACCTGATTGTATGTTCAATGCTGTCTGATAATGTTCCTAAAGATATTTCCAAGCTATTTTTTGGCTTTAATGACCATGGTTAGTTTAAAAATAGGCTGCTTTAATTGCCGGGGACTAGCATCAAACACTATAAAAAGATGCGACATTTTTGACAAGTGTAGAATCAACTACGATATCTCTGTCCTTATTGACACGCATTCCACAGATAAAGTTGAACAAAAGTGGTTAAATGAATGGGGATATACTGCAAAATTCTGTTCCTTTTCTAGTAGTAGTAGAGGAATAGCGATCCTCTTCAAAAACGCATTTCAATTTGACATCGTGAAAGAAATTAAAGACACTAGTGGTAATTTTCTAATACTTGAGATTAAATTATTTGATCGAAATATAATTTTGGCTGCAATATGTGGCCCAAACGAAGATAGTCCGTCCTTCTTTGAGAATATCCAACGAAAACTTGAAACACTAAATAATAACTCTATCATTATATGTGGAGATTGGAATGTTCCACAGAACTATAACTTAGACACTGTTAATTACAAAAATAAAAATAATACAAAGAGTCGAGCTAAAATTCTGGATATGATGTCAACATTAGATATTTTAGATATATGGAGAGAGTCTAACCCAGATACAAAACGATATACATGGCGGGGTCCACATAAAAAACAGGCACGTCTAGATTATTTTCTGATATCTTCTGATTTAGTATCTTGTGTTTCAAATACAGACATTGGGGTAAGTTATAGATCTGATCACACTCCAGTTTCTGTTTCTTTTAAATTTATTGAGCAGCAGAGAGGAAAAGGTACCTGGAAATTTAACAATACTTTACTGCACGATGCTAATTATGTACCAAAGGTAAAACAGTGTATTGTGGAAACATTAAATCAATATAGAATACCTGATGAATAAAATAACACTATATATTCAATTGACGACCAACTTTTATACGAAACTATTAAACTAATGATAAGGGGTATAACTATAAAATATTGTTCATATCTTAAGAAAATGAGAAACTGTACTGAAGAAAAATTAGAAGAGAAGCTAAGTAAGTTATATTCGGATGAAACACAAAACGACATTAGTGCAGACATAGAAAGAGCAGAACTAGAACTTAAAAATATAAGGGAAGAAAAGATTAAAGGGATGATTTTAAGGTCAAAGGCAAAATGGAAGGTAGAGGGGGAAAAAAGCACAAAATACTTCTGTAATCTAGAAAAACGTCATTATACAGAAAAGCTCATACCTAGATTAATAACGGATGAAAATAAAGTGATTACGGATATTAAAGAAATAATAACAGAACAAACAAAATTTTATGAGGAACTATACATCAGTAGAGAAGCAAACATTGATGACGCACATTCTGAATTATTTTTCAATGAAGAAAACCCATACAACAAAAAAATAACAACAGAACAAGCTAATAAGATGGAAGTCTTGTTAAGTAGATTGGAATGTTTAAATTCTTTAAAAAATATGGGAAACTTTAAATCACCTGGTCTAGACGGTTTCACAGTTGAATTTTATAAATTTTTCTTCAA